TTTAGGCAAATAACAAGCATTACATTCTCAGTGTGGACTTCTCAACAAAAGATGTCCACATAAACCAGGTAGCAGCGATGTTGTGTGGACTTGGCCTCGTCCACACAATGTTTCCTCCTCTCTGGAAAACAGGTTTAGATGCATTTTTGGGTTAGGTTTATCCGTGGCAAAATGAAGAGAAACACTAAAGGGAACAATAGAAAAAAAATTGGGTTGAAAGAGTTTTCACAGTGTGAGTAAAATTAGTTTTTATTCAACAGGTTTTTTTCAAAACTACACGAAAACAAAAGAATGTCCCTACTATAGGTATGTAACGTATGCTAGCGTGTCTGTGTGTGTTTGTGTCCTTTTGCAAGATGTTTTGTCATTTACTGCTTCTCCCCACCCGGGATTAAACCCGTGGCGGCACAGATGATCAGTGATTGATTTAAGCTGTCTCGTGCCGAAATGGAAGAATGGAGGTGTATGCTCCCCATGAGATGTCTTTGAAATGTTTCATAATGATGTGGCGCCTTTGGCACCGATACTGGTGGTTAGGCCCCCAAAAAAGTCTCCAGTTTCTGGTATGCGCGCGCGTCGCCGTAGCCATGCGCGTCGGCAAAATGAAAAAGTTGTTTTTTTCAATGAAAGATGATGTCTCAAAACCGCCAAACTCACTGGTTTGACTGGAATCATGCTGCTGCACAATTTTAACGTGTTTTTAGATTGGGTTATAGTCGCGAATAAGCTTTATGTGGCCTCTCTGGACTCCCATATGTTTGCACTAAGTTTAGTCGGGAACCATTTGCAGTCATCAGCCGACATTTGAAGCAAAAAAATCAGGTAAAAAAAAAAAAAGCCGCGTCGCCGCACCACTTTCTGGGCAAGCTCCATACCAGAAACCGGAGACTTTTGTTTGGCCTGAGAAGACAAACGAAGGACGCTCACAGGGGGAACGGAATGATAGAAACCCGTTAAAGGGAATGAAACGAACTCCAGTGATGTGCACTGAATGAGACACAATAGCATGAATCTGGCAAAGGGACAGACAGTGAGCATACAGGATGGAATAATACTTTATTTATTCAGATTAATTGGTAAAAACACCTGTCTCCCAAAAATACAACTATCCAATTAAAAGTAGTATACCAAATTTGATTAAAAACCGTCCAACAGAGTAAAAATACATTAACAACAATAATTCCCTTAATTACAATAATTCCCTGAATAATATGAAAAATCTGTGCGACAATTACATGTAGTCGTGTATATTATAATTATTTTGAGTTGCATTATAACAGTGTGTTAATTATCTCAAATTTCTGAAAGATTAACGAAATACATGTACAAAGTCAATTGCAAGACTGAGCAGGAAAAGATATACTAGAAAAACTGCATAGGCCTAGTTATATTTCTACAGAAATTCTATTGATAGAGGATAGTCGTTGTGTTTTCCAAGCTTTTGATAGCATTTTTTAATACAACCGTTGAATGTCAATGAATCGAAAAATAAAAGTTTTGAATTCATGGGACGGAGCAGCGTTTTGTGCATTTTCACTTTGACGTAGGCCATGATGACATTTCATGCCAGATTGACTTATTCCTTAAACTTGAGCAGCCGTCGTATTTCTTAGACCTCATGGGTAGACTTTATGCGTATAGCGGCCATCTTTTTGGGCATCCTTCGTTATTTTAATTCAGTAACAATGAGTGCTTAAAAGGTTTATTTCTGGTATGTCACAGCAAGACAAATGTATTGCCTTGATGACTGCTACCTATAAGGTCCATATACGCCTTTTTTGAAATATTGTGGGCAAGAGAGAGCGCCTTTTTTCAGTGGGTGACCTCTCTTGTATATTCACCCCGCAAATGTATTATATTATGTTATTCATTTTTTAAAAATTATTTTATTGAAAATACAACATGACAAAAAATGAAAAGCCCCGCTTCCTCCTTTTTTTTTCAAACACCCGGACGAGAAACATGTTTTTTTTTATTCGGCCTAAGGAGCCAGCCGACAGGTTGCTTTTATGAGGCTGCATCCTAAGGCCAAAAAAAAAGTCTCCGGTTTCTGGTATGCGCGCGCGTCGCCGTTGCCATGCGCGTCGGCAAAATGAAAACGTTTTTTTTTTCAATAAAAGATGATGTCTCAAAACCGCCAAACTCACTGGTTTGACTGGAATCATGCTGCTGCACAATTTTAACGTATTTTTAGATTGGGTTATGGTCAAGAATAAGCTTTATGTGGCCTCTCTGGACTCCCATATATTTGCACTAAGTTTAGTCGGGCACCATTTGCAGTCATTGGAAGCAAAACAAATCAGGTAAAAAAAAAAAAAAAAGCCGCGTCGCCGCACCACTTTTTGGGCAAGCTCCATACCAGAAACCGGAGACTTTTTTTTTTGGCCTTACATGCACTTTATAAATATACACTATTACTTATTATTTTCATAGCTATGATTTATCTGCACGTGTTTTCAACAGGTGTGCTGCTCGCCCCTGCCTACGCCGTTGGGGAACTGTTAGCGGGTTTCTTGGTGAAGAAACTGGAGCTAACACTGCACGGTACCGTCCGCCTGACCTGCGTCGTGCTGACGGCGTGTGTAGTCGGCATGGCTCTGCTCATGGTTATAGGCTGCTCCAACGACAACGTAGCTGGTGTGTTCTCCACGTACGATGGCGTGAGCAGGTAGGAAATCTACACCTCCCAAAGGCACAAGAGGTTGAAAATCGCCCCTGGTACATCTCACCGTACACAACATAATTGTTTTATATCGAATGATGTGTGGCGAGCAGAAAGGGCTTCGTACCAGTAGTTTTTGTACATCTTGAGGTAGCCCTTACCACGTAATGAATGCTAGAGAGACAACATTTGCGACTAAGTTCCCAAAGTTGGCATCCCTGGTTTTAAAGGGCTACACCAGTACAGTCTCAGAGCTATGAGGCCGAATCCCCAAGGCCCAATGCCTCATGAATCCGACGCCTCGTGATTCCGAAATTTCGGACTTATCAGGCGTCGGTGTTAAATATGAGGTGTCGGAGTTACGATACGACCCCGTTTATACGCATGATGCGAATAACTTGAAAGGTTTAATGTTTGTCCTACCTCCTCATGAGGGCTGTGTTTTGGGGGTTATTTTTTACATCATGATGTAACGTACCCATGGGTCAAACAAAGGACGGGACAGTACGTTTCCCCCAATATCATTGCCATGTGAATGCACCTGGTTTAGAGCCAAGCCTTGCAGAGCCTTTGAATGATTTAAACAGTTAACGTCTTGCACACGTTTTGGGACAAGTTTTATAACATTCTAACGAACCACATGCATTCTCTAGAGCTATTACATTTTCCACGAAGGGGCCGGCAAAATAATGACAAATTTGAGATTGAAGTGCACGCTTCGACGTGGTTTAAGACAAACCGTCCCTCCCCCTGATGTGACTAACATTTTGCAGAACTGATGTATGAAGGATGGATGTCTTCTTGATGGCTGTTCAAAAATAAACATCTCTCCCAAGCTCTCCGGGGCTTGTCTTATATAATCTTTCCCCGGCTTGAGAAAATGGACTCACCAGTGCCCTTTAGTCTAGGGGCTAGACGTTGCATGGTATACGCGTAACCCGCTGCCGCGAGAGGGCGCTATCACGACCAACCAACATCGCCCACGGATTTGTCAGCAGCAACGTCTAGGGTGTCTCCTGAAATCTTCCCCGAGAAAAAAAAGAGAGAAACCAGTGCGCATGCAGGCACGACTTCTGCAGGCAATAACTGTCCATTTTCAGACCCACACATACTCACAACAAAAGAGCTGACCAATGAAGTTGCACAAGGTCTTGCTGCATCTTTGATTGTAGTAAAAGTAAAGTCTGTCCCGAGCCAATGTGGCTCATCAGGCCGGTGTTTATCTCCGTTTTCCTTGGCATGAAACGACTGAAAATATTTCTACTCCCCCTGAATGGGATGCCAGTCCATCGCAGGTTACTCCCCAGCTAATGCCGGTACACATTTATACTCCTGGGTGGAGAGGGGCAAGTGGGGGTGAAGTGCCTTGCCCAAGGAATCTTTGATTGTACTTTAAGAAATTTGAGAGTTTGCTTCGGAACAACCATGATTTTTTTTTAATTGTGCGCTGCATGTATTAGGTCAAATAGGTGCGTGCGCATAATACAACTAATGGGAGTTGCCCTAGACGTTGCTGCTGGCAAGTCAGTGGGCAATATTGATTGGGCGGCCGGCGGCGGGTCATCGCGTATCAAACCATGCAACGTCTAGCCCCTAGACTGCCTTGGGTGCGAGTGAAGTCTTCAAAACGGTTATACTGCTTTCGCCCCCTCAAACGGGACGGAGATCTGTCTTATAGCGAAACAATTGTGTGCTTAGCATGCATCTTTATGACGTTCAGTCCTCGATACTGTCATACCTTTCTAATTTACTCTCCCCTTTTTCTTTTGTTTTCTTTATCTTATGCAGCTCGGCTTCTGTTGATTTGGAAGCACCTTGCAACCAGAACTGCTCGTGCTCCATGGCTCTGTACGCACCCATGTGCTCCGATGCGGGTCTGACGTACTTCTCACCGTGCCACGCCGGGTGTAAAGTCATCGGTGCCCAAGTAAAATGGAAATGATTTCCTAAAATAATTTAGCTTGCTATCTGAGGCCTTCCAAATGACATCATAGCCAAGTCCAAGTCGTGTTCGTCTATAAGCTGAGAAGTTATTTCGTAAATAATCGGCGGAAAGGTCATTAACATTATGTTTTAGTGGGGGGTTTTTTTTTTGGGGGGGGGGACAAATAGTTAAGGATGCCTTAATTGCGTCATTCGGACTATCCCAAAGGTTAATACCGTGTTAAATGAAACCATTTTTAATTTTTCTGTTAATTTCAAGAAAAAGGTTGTCGATAAGTGTTATACGATGATGAATTAATAGTTGAAACTGAATATTTTAACACCAGCAGGTAGACTGCTTCAAACTTCCCCTTGGATTCAGATTTCTTTTACCCGTTTTACTCTGAAAATGCAGGGCAACTTCTCTGACTGCGCATGCCCGATGATGCTCGGCGATGGAAGTTTGTACTCCACCGCTCGTTCTGCCTCCGTCGTAGACGGCGCTTGCGGGACACAGTGTACATCTGCCGTGCCGTTTCTCCTCGTTCTGACTGGCGTCTTTGTCTTGGCGACTTTCGGAGATCTCCTCCGTCTTACAATAATCGTGAGGTAAGTTAATTATGACGGGGTTGAGACAATAAGGCAAAGCTAGCGAAAACTCAACCAAGGTCTGTAATTTTTTTTTTATTACACTAAGGCCCATAACTTTGGCAAGGCCAACGTTTTCAGTTTTCTTTTTTTTTTTGGGGGGGGGGCCGACTCGAAGAATTTGGAGGGTCTAAAACCTCAGTGAAACAGAAAACGAAGTTTTAGTCAAGTCCGCACAAGTCCTCAAACTTCCTCACAAGTTCACATTGTCCTCACAAGTCCCCACGAGTTCTCACAAACCATCATAAGTCCTTACAAGTCCTCAAAAATAATCTTGCACGAGTAATAAGCTTTTCAAATTACCTGATAAGTGATAGTTGTGACGCGATAACTTCCAGTTAGACTTTTGACTGACTTATTAAATTTGACTTGTGATTGTGAGTACCTGGCTTGATATCGACGTCACATCAATGCTTCACGTCTATTTTTGTTCTCTGAAACAGGTCAGTGACGTCAGAGAGCAGACTTGTGGCGTTATCTGTGGCCTATTTGACGCAAGTTATTGGTAAGCTCATGAAGTTATGATGACGCGTGATGAAGTTATAAAAATAAAATTCTAGAGGCACTAAAGCACAGTTTTTACAATGCATTTTTAGACTTTGCATGGTAGAATATACAATTTGGGAACGGGACAGAGGCGTGGCTATGTATTTGTGTGGTGCTATGGTGCTTGGCAGATTATGTCCTCGGTATAGTTTTTGGCAATACATTTCGACAAATTAAAGAGGCCGTGAAGGGCGTCACCTAGTAGTTAGCCTCGACTCCATGGGCGCGGGCGCGTTCCCTACACTAACCCCTGGCCGTGATGATGACGTAAATGACGCTGATTGGCTATTCACAGCGTACTGCGCGCACATTTCGAAGATTGCACGCCGGTCGCGCCCATAATGCGCTCGCGTGCTTTGCACGCAACGTCACGTACAAAACAGCTTCGACTCCAGGGGTGCGTGCTCGTTCCTTACACTAACCCCTGGCTGTGATGATGACGTAAATGACGCTGAATGGCTACTCACAGCGTACTGCGCGCGCATTTCGAAGATTGCACGCCGGGCGCCCCCATAATGCGATCGCGTGCTTTGCACGTAACGTCACGCACGAAAAAAAAAATAGGATTCAAAAGTCGCGATGCCTGTACGATATGGATTATGTCAGCCGCGTTTTTCGCTATAAAAACCCCTGTATCTGTGGTTGTAAAGGCACGAAAGGGATACGTACATTTAATACAAATCTTTGCTAATTAACACAACGTCCAAACGTTGTGTTTGAAAGGATTGATTCTTCAAAATCACAACTCTTAACATTTTAAGATGGCGTCGGCACGTAAAACGGATAAACTGCAGCCCTCATTATAATGTACCGTATTTTGGCACATTTAAATTACACAATTCCAGGGGTTACGATCGCGCAAGGCATGATGGGAAACAACATGGCGCTGCAAGATCGTACCCACGGGGCACGAGGTTGCGTGCGAAAAAAATTGTTATTCAAAAGTAGCGATGCCTGTACGAAATGGATTATGGCAGCCTCGTTTTTTTCGCTAAAAAAACCCTGTATCTTCGGTTGTAAAGGGACGAAAGGGTGCGTACATTTGATACAAATCTTTGCTAGATAACGCAACGTCCAAACGTTTTGATTGGAAGGATTGATTCTTCAGAGTCACAACTTTTATCATTTTAAAGATGGCGTCGGCAGGTAAAACGGATAAACTGCAGCCTAATTATAATGTGCCATATTTTGACACATTTAAATTACACAATTCCAGGGGTTAAGATCGCGCAAGGCATGATGGGAAACAACATGGCGCAGCAAGATCGTACCCATGGGGAACGAGGCTGCCTAGTAGTCACTGGAAACTCTAACCGCACCCCCTCTTGTCAGATGATGTGTTGTAGAACAAACAAAAATACTTTGGACATTTTTCGTAAGGTGTGCCCAGTTAAGCAACTTATTGTCAAAGGCGCATCAGAATTTGGGATTTTTTCAGGGGAGGGGGATCCGAGTGGGAGGGGGAGCGGGGAGGGCAAGGAGGGGGTTGAAAAGAAAATTGTGCCCAGCAAATTTGACCCCAGTTTATATACACCACTGCCTATGACCTGTAATTGTATATTTTGTTTAGGGGTTGTCGCCTCAGGCCAGGTATTCGGAATGGTTATCGACGGGGCGTGCGTAGTGTGGCAGGAATCGTGCGCGGGCCAACAAGGGGCGTGCCTGCTGTACGACAACCGCCCCTACCGGCTGGCCTACAACGGCCTGGCGTTGGCCGTGGGCATCTTCAGCGCCGCCGTCATGTTCCTGGTGCTCCTGTGGCCGACCGGTCGAAATCACCGATCGACGGTACGCCGTGGCGGGCCGGCCATGACATCCGTAACAGCTTCAGTGTAGACGCGTCTTTTGTTTTAATTAATTAATGAAACAACCAACATCCAAGGTGGTGATAATTATTATCATTAGTTACGTCCTTATTTTTTATCTGAAGTTTTGCTTTGGTAGGGTGGCAACATTAGACACAGATGCTGTCCTTATCGATACTATTCTTGTAAAGGAAAAATAAAAAAGAGAAGTACCAATTTTAAAGACGATTTAGAAGATGTAAAGAAGTAAAAGTAAATAGATTTAAAAGAGAACATAATGTGTGAAATAAAACATAACAAATAACGAAGTAAATCAATGGAGCAATTAACGACTACACACGGGATAAAAGAACGACAATAGAGCATAATGCACCCAAGATACTTTTTAAGAATAAAAGCTGTATGCAATTCAAACGTGATGAGCGAAGATAAGTTAAAACAAGTTATCGAAAGAAGATGGAATTCTGAGACAATATGAGTTAAAAACAAAGTTAGTTGGAGAATATAAAAAAACACATATTCAGAGGAAATAAAAGACGAGTATTATTTGTACTCTTCACTTTTATTTAGGATGTTTATTTTCTCGTATTTCTTGCATTTGTATATAGCTGCACGGTTGCAGTTGCGACTTTTTGGTGTCTTTCTATAAAAGGGAAATACACTGGAATTTAGGCGAAAGAATAATTGATTGAAAACACGGGAGAGTCGTTGTTCTTCAAAAACCAAGCAAAGAAAAGCCATAAAATTATTCAAAGAAGCAATAGAAGTGGTCGTAGTAATTATAATCACACAGTGGCCAAAAAAGGAATTATAGTAGAATACGTTTATTCAGTACAAACAAAAACTGAATTTTCTGTAAATTTTTCTAAATGATTTCGTTGTCTACGTAATTTGTTGAGTGACTAATTAAATATAGAACTGTCCTTAATGTCTGACGACAGGTTGGAGGAATTGTTTTGTTTACAAGGGCCTAACAAAGTTGAAGGATAGAGGCTGATCTAATATTATGTCAAGGAGAAACGACGAAAAAGTGGAGATTTTTTTTATTCGAATGAATCAAAGAATCGCCACCTTTTGAGTCGTTTTTCCAACTTAAACTACGTCCCTCCCGCAACTAGTGTCCGGTTTACAAGGGAACAAAAAGTGCCTATTCTTATAAATGCTTTGCGGTATGAGATGAACTCGATCCATTGTTCAGCATTGGATAGCTGTGTAAAAGCCTTACTCCCGGGCCCTGTACTGTACGAGGCAAAACAAATGGTCCAAGTCTATGCTCGGTTCTGACAAGTGGGAAGGGAAAAAAAACTGACTGACCAACCGACCGAACGACCGACCGACCGGTGACCGACCGACCAACCGACCAACTGACCCGACCGATCCACCGAGTGTATCACTCATCACTGAGCCAGACTGGACCTTGAGTGCTGAAAAACATGCAAAACAAAATCACTTCTATACTACAATCACGAAAATGATTGGAGGGCGCTGCCATTTTCCCGACCGGTCTCCCGACCCGCCAGCGCCCGTTGGCCGCGGGGGATGCGGAACGGGGCCCGGCTATTTCCAACCCTATTTCCCATAATTCCCTTCCCCATTGGGCCGCGCCGGCCATCTTGCGTATGGGCCGGTGTCACATGAAAATTCGACTCCTATGAAAATCGGACCCCTATTTCCCTATTATTGGTTGATCCCTCGCACGTGACAGGTCACTCTCCCGAAATGATCCTAAAAATAGCACAGTATCGTACTCACGCGTGCGCAGTACTACCAATGAGTCCACATTTCATGGAGTCGGATATTCACGCTACACCTGTCGTGCCACGTATACGTATACGTACGTTCGTATAGAGGAGCATGCGCTGCAGCGCATGCAACGGTATTCCATGCAACATGCAAAGCTAAAGGCATGCTTGCCCCACATTTTCTCAGCACTACTACTAGCTTCGTTTGATGGTCGTTTGATGCATTGATTATGCTACAATTTTCTCTTTCAATGGTAAGTCCGATTTGTGCTATGACACTCCAATAGTAGATTATAGTTAGTAGTAATTCTTTCGAACACCTCTGGCAAAGGATAAGTATTCTTTCGAACACCACTGCTGGCAATGACAATTGTTGTTTGTGAAAAGTGTGACCCAATCGCGTGGGCCTCGGACATGGCGATCGTGTAGTATTTAGTAGGGCCCGGTTCCTATAGGGAACAAAATCCACTTTAAAAAAGCCCGACCAAAATAGTTGGAGACATTCTCAATAAACAGGTATGTCATAGATAGAGGGCCGGGTTTTGATTTTTTTAGAGAATTTTTTTTTTGGGGGGGGGGGGAAATTACGATGACAGCACAGTGAAAACACGCAACCCGAAAATAAAGATGGCGATTACTGCGCGATGTGCTGTGAGCACGCACGGCGCGCAGAATCGTAAGGCACAAACCGCGCAGGAACAATTTATTTGTAGCTATTGTTAGCCGATGTATTTTTTTTTACAAGTTTTCTTTGTTACTCCTTTACACAGGACTCCCGATGACACCCACATCACATGACCAGCTCCAACCATGCTCCAAGCATGCTCCAGTGCATGCTTCAACCAGTCCCCAAAGCAAGAATCTCGACTCAAGACAAAGACGTGACACACCTATTCTTTCCAGTTCATCTGCAAGATTCCTGCTTTTTCTCTTTACCCATTCAAAACACATTTTTCTTCTAGCCATAATTTTATTATTTAGAAGTCATGAAAATGAAATAGTGCAAAAATAATCACTCTTTTCTGCTGTTTTATGTCCATCCTTTTTTAAAGTTATATCCTTGGCTTAGTTGTACCCAAGAATAATTATGGAATGATTACCCGTCTTGCTTGAAAGTCTTTCATGGAATGTTTTTGCCTATGCTAAACAAGCCTGGACCGACGTCCCTTGCGAAAATCGCTCCGAAATTTTACTACAATTATATCCCCTGAGTTTTGTCGAAGTACTACCCTGTAATGAATGCAAATACATTATTACTAAAAAATTCGTGTGTGCATTGTACCTGATTTCATTTTCACAGTTTTGTAATAAATACATTTAACATGTGGTGCTTGACATAATTATGAAGTGCTCCAATATGTCCTTTCTTATAGTTTTACTCTCTTCTGCAAATAAACGTGTTACAATACTTTGCTCTACAACCCCATCACCGTTATAAAAACACCAACTGTTATAATGACATTAACTACTACTTAATACATAAGAAACACCCCCTTCACCATAACGAATATAAATTGTTGCCCACTTCCCCGGAAATATAAGTGACCATTCACAGGTGTAACATAAGTAGGCATGGGCGTCACAAGGGGGGGGGGGGGGGGGGGGCAAGGGGGGCACTTGCCCCCCCCCCCGGAAAAGCAAAAAAAAAAGAAAAAAAAAGGGGAAAAAATGAGTTTAATTTTAAATTTAATGAATTGGGGGGGGGCGGCTAAATGTCCCTGCCCCCCTCTAAAACTGATAAATGGAGAATGTGTTGAGAAAAACAGGCATTTTTTTGGCAAAAATATGTTTTGCCCCCTTTAGAAAACAAATCCTGGCGACGCCCATGTAAATAGGCCACACAATATCCAACCCCCACCCCCACTGGCTTCCCCCTCCTCTTTTTGTAGTGAGAACGATGAATACGACGTTGTAAAGGCCAAGATCAAACCGCGTTTCATCTAAATTACCTAATTGTACAGTTGGTGTATACGTCCTTTATGGTTTGGCACCTTCAAAAATCAATGTTCAATTTGACTGGACAATATTCCAGCACAACAGTAGTTATGAGCTTTATATACATGTAATGAGACATTGCATGAGACAATCGGTCGGCAATAAATACTTAATTTCATTCAACTGTTGACAGCAAGACCTTCCTAATCGGTGCGCAATTTAAAACAACATTTAAACGGTATGAATCCCAGCACAAACATAAACCTCCACAATATCAGCGATTTCAATATCACCATCTCCCCTCTATAACAAAAAACATTTCTCCCCGTCCCTGGAAATATTTCTCCCCATCCCCGGAAATATTTGTGACATGGTTGACGGTTGTACGGAAATTGGGCGTTCCGACTAGCACCCTTCACCCTTTAATTTAGCTAGCCCCTTCCCCTATATTGACAATATGTCCTGGACCCTCGCACAATCTCCGCAGGAAATGTTATGTGCGCGCACGTTGCTAAACGCAAATACAACTTAAGTGAGACTGGTGGCGAGTCCAAATAGGCTCGCGTGCAGCAGAGCGTCTGATTCTTTATTTGACTTAACAGTTGTTTGGAGTTATTGGAGTTTAAATTATCGAGATTTCACTGTACACAGTAATTATTACGAAACAGTCAACTCCACCCATCTAGCGGGTGCCGCGCGAAGCGCGGCATCCCGCTAGTACTCTTACACTTACGATTTAATGGGAATAAGTATTAGGCGTCCCGAGTCAGATATGCATGCCCTGCGGAATGCGGGTCATATTGGACTTGATACTAGTCCGGGTCAAATTGACAATTTTTAAATGATAGTTGATCCAGGAAAGTATCATTTCGACCTGGAAGAGTGTCACTTTGACACTTTGACAATCTGACTTTGTGTTTTTTTCCCGAGTGTTTAACTATTGTTGTATCTCTTTGTTAGAGATCACAAAGTCCTTCAATGAAGTACTGTACGAGAAAACAGATTTTATTGCAGTCAAAATTTCATATGACACCGGAAAATTGCCTCAATAGTTTCTTCATGATGTTTGCGAATTAATGTACCCCTCCCCCAGCCTACACGCCCGCCGTACTCCAATTCAAATCTAAAAGAAGAGAAACTACAAAACAGCGAGGGGCTTGGGCTCGGGCCTGGGCCGCTTAAAAGGGCCCCGAAAAAAAATTGGATTCTAGATGATCTGTGGTGCGATCTGAGGCAATTTCTGACCACTTTAACCAAATATTTTGAGAAGATGGTGGTGTACGCAGTGCCTGCCTTTATTGCGACGTCACTTAAAAAAAAAAAAAATTGGGTGCTTTTTTTTGGGGGGGGGGGGCATGGCTTGTGTTAGCCCCCTCCCCCCTCCCCCGATTTTCTCTTGTAATGAACCCCCGGGTCATCATTGAGAATAATCATTCAGTTCTTATTTCCTTGGGAATAGAACACGCTAGGCTTCGAAATACCACACATAACGAGGTGTTTTTTTTACAAGTTCCATTCATATGATAAATCAAAACCCTATAACGTACCTCTTTCCAAAAAATTAAGCTACTTTTTAGCTGATATTCAACATGGTACTGTACGTCACTTGGCGAACTAGATGATTCCAAGCACACATCAACAAGACTTGCCTATAGTAACATTTTTTGGTATTTATTTTGAAAAAAAGTCTTGCGTTTTATGGAACGGGATCTAAACTACACTATTATTACCATTCGTTTGTTTCCCCGGCATAAAAAAAATTTCAAAGTGACTGGCTATCGTGCCTACTGTTTGGCTGATGTATCTTTTCAATAAATAAGTCTGTTTAACGTATTTCTGTCTTTGCATGGTATTGACTCTTGAGAGCGCTGTTGTCCGCGCGAAAATCTTGACATCAGCCATCTGATTAGTGGCCCTTTGCGTTACAGTGAATAGATCTTTCTTTTGTTTGTAAACATTGGCGCCATTTTGTATGGGCTGCCGTAAGCGCATAAATTGAAGCCGTGGTTGGCAACATATTTTTTTCCAAAAAAAGTCCTCAAAACGCCATCAACACATAGTAAAAAGGCATATGTAGGAATTATTTTGTAGTTTTGTTGAAAATGTTGTATTTTCAAGTATCATATTTTGGTGATCTGTAATAACTCTTCTTCATTTTTGCAGTGTTGGGCCTTCCATAGTTTTGCAGGCCGTGGTTGGCAAATATGCAGTTTGCCATTCAAGCGCAGAAAGGTCTATAGCTTTAGCCATAGACAACAACGAAGGTAGTCGCTGGAATATCAGTGTAAAGTTAGAGGGCGCTATTTCATTTTTATGGTAGATGTTTTGTTCAGGCTAGAGGGCGCTATTCATTTTCACCAGTCAGTACGCCAACTATCAGTTTACAACATTATTACATGCATCTCAAGGCTCATTTTGCTGAACCTTTTGTAAATCTTTGACATTCAGATCGAGTTCCATAAATAATTCTGACAAACTGTACTAGGGTGGACCCTACAGCGAAGTTTCAGTAATGCAATAAAGATGTAGGCCTATATACTGTCCGTGCGCTTCAACAATTAAAATGTTTTTCTCATGACGAGTTCTCAACGTGAATTTTATGTAAACGAAAAAAAAAGTTCTTTTTACTACTTTATATTGACAAGTGCATGTTCTGGGATGCTTTTGCAAACAAAAGTTAGATACTCCATGGCCTACAATGGCTTGTTCGCAGCAATATTAAAGATATACCTCAGGAAATATGCTGTAAAACTAGGGGTGACCTGGCTGGGTGAGAATGTCCAAGATTTCTTACGGGGTACGATTAATCAAGATACTGGGATTTTTTGGGTTGATGATCTTCAGCTAACATATAAATTCCACTTCTACTTTTACGTTGATACTTGGCAAAGTCCTACATCGGGATATCACACCAAAGTTGCACATAAGGATAGGCCTATTTGAATTTTTTTTAAATTATTATAAAAAAAACCAGGGGCCACTTTTGAATAGGGCACTCTTTGCTCACTTCGTACCAAATCAAATCAAGTCAATTCAAATCAATTTTGAATGATTTCATCAGCAGGAAAAGCTCATATTTGTCAAAGTGAATATCTGAAGGTCCCTGGTTCAATTCCGTGTTCCGGTAATAAGAACTATGATCATCAGGTGATTTTTCACTTTTGTTCTTGTCAACAAGACACTGACAATGCTAAAGATCTTGGTCCCAAGTTTAGAACAAAATCACCAGCCGGAATAGCTCAGTTGGGAGAGCGTCAGACTGAGGATCTGAAGATCCCTAGTTCAATCCCGGGTTCCGGCAATTCAATCAATACTGTGTCATTTGTTTTGCTAAACCTTGGCGATGCCAAATATCTTGGTTTCATAGTTATCAACGACTGGCGAGTGTGTCTATTTCACCTGCCGGAATAGCTCAGTTGATTGAGAGAGCGTCAGACTGAAGATCTGAAGGTCTCTGGCTTAATCCAGGGTTGCGGCAAGTCAACGTTGTACCTCGCGTCTTTTTTTTGGGGGGGGGGCAATACTCTGACAAAGTCCAAATAAACAGCTTGGTATCGTCCTTTTGAACGATGGGAAGTATATTTCATCGGCCGGAATAGCTCAGTTGGGAGAGCGTCAGACTGAAGATCTGAAGGTCCCTGGTTCAATCCTGGGTTCCGGCAATTCCAACTTGGTTCCAGGCGTCAATTTTTTGGACTAGACTTTGACAATGTCCAAATAAACATCTTGGTATCGTCCTCATGAATGACTGGCGATTTAGGCCCTATTTCGTCTTTGTTTCGTAATTTTTTTTAAAGACAAAACACTGGCAAGTTTAATCCTCTCGATTCAACTTTTTTTTTGGGGGGGGGTGTTTGAGTTGTTCCTTTCAAGTTCAATCATATAGCTGAAGAAATTCTATCCATTGTGCTCCTTGAAAATTCGAAAATTGTCGAAATTCAATTGAGCATTGGAGCTGCTTGGGGTTTCCGAAGCAAGTTCGACCCCGGGTTCAAGCAAGTAATTTGTGTTTGACGGTGTACATTATATTTTACTTGATTAATAGGCAAGGTACGGGAGCATCCCAAACCTCTTGATAGGGCCCTTTTCTGGGATATCGATAGCGAATGTTCATTTTATCAGCTGGAATAGCTCAGTTGGGAGAGCGTCATACTGAAGATCTTAAGGTCCCTGGTTCAGTCCCGGGTTCCGGCAGATGTAACATAAGTTATTTTTACAAACCAATAATCTTAATCTCGATTATTGAAGTGATTTTCCAACACATTGTTTTGTTGTTACTATTTTTTTTTTATTTTTCGAAAAATCGGAAAGCACTTTCGAGTGGGACGTCAGGCTTGTAAACGAAGAAACTGGGGCAGGAGGAGCAGATTTTTTTATAAAATTAATATTAATAAATATAGTTGATAATTAATATTCATTACTTTCATTTAGAAACTCAAAATTCAACGACAATTTTGTGCATCAAATTTACTCGGATCGTATGGGCAACCTTTTTGCTGCGTCATGTACAATTTTGAATTTGACGATTTTCCAAAACTCGGTCTTCATTCGGCTCCGCCTGCTAACAGTGCTATTTGGGTGCCTGATTTTGAAGATTCCAGATCAACATGAGTCAATGTTATCTTACAAAACCATCAAACTGTATTATCATTACTGTATGATGATTACAAAATAAGTGATTTATTTAAACATTTGATTAGAACATTAAAAGCTTAAAGTGATAAAGCCGAGCTTTGAAAAGGGGGGGGGGGCAGCGTTTCAAAAGTGGTCACCAATGGCGGTTCCGCACAAATGCGCCCTAAATCTGAATGGGACCGATGGACCGTCGTCCGAACACAGGCAGCCGCAAACAGAGGGCTTGTTTTAAGGCCAGAAATCGCAGTCAGAGATTTTTTTCTCGCAATTTTTTGATGAAATATGAGTCATCCATCCTTCCTCGTGCCGTACAAGTATTTTGGGAAAATTTTCCAAAACCTCGCCTCTTAATAGGGTGTATACCAGTAAATCGGTCCGAAATTGCCTGCGCCGGACAAATCACAATTTGCATGCCCTCAAAATCTCCAGTTTTTGAGCATGCTGTGGGCCATGAACTTGAGGGTTTTGTGAAAAATATGGGTGGAAGCCGTGCACACGACTGTGAGCTTGTAGTTCCGTTCAATTTGGATAAAATTGGGGCCCTTAAAGCGCTCTATTTTGGAGTGTAGGCATCGTTTTTCAAAATGGCGACGGGCTTCAGGACTATTTTCAGGGATGATCATCTTCGGATGGAAATTTCTCCTAAAAGTCATTAGTTGACCCCCCAAAAATTGAAAAGAAAATAAAGGATGATGAAATAAGCTTTAATTTGATGTGTGTCTCGAACACCTTGGAGAGTTGTGAGTATTTTTCCCGAATTTCCGAAGTGGGAGTATTTACCATTGGGGTCTATGGAAGTTTATTTACTGGTCTGCACCCCTGACCTACAATTTGGACGTGAGCGTCGGGAATAATTGTCAGGTCTTGGAACCAGACTACCCAAAACAAACTCAGCACACACAATAAACTTGGCTAAAATGTACCCTACTATCATGGGCGTCGCCAGGATTTTTTCTAGAGGGGGGCAAACATTTTTTTGCCAAAAAATGCTTGTATTTCTCAATACATTCTCGATTTATCCGTTTTAGAGGGGGGCAGGGACATTTTGCCCCCAAAACTCATTAAATTTACACCACTTTGTCTTCGATCGCGCCTCTTTTGTTTTCTTTTCTTTTCTTTTTTTTTCTTCCTTTTTTTTGTTTTGTTTTGTTTTTGCTTTTCCGGGGGGGGGGGGGGCAAGTGCCCCCCTTGCCCCCCCCCCCCTCCCCCCTCGCGACGCCCATGCCTACTATGCATTTTGCGCATGCGTGTTGAAGCGAAATTTCCCTCTCGGAGAAGCTAGCACGCCGGAGAAGTGCACCGTGACACCAAGAAACCCTAGGCTCCAGATTCGAGTTATAGTGCTGTCCAGACTACGGGTAAATCACTAGTAAGTTCACTGATTGAATTGTGTGTTTCTTATATATTCTGAAGTCATTACAGGCCATCACGGAATCGAAATATTGTGTCATTGCTTTTATATATAGTGTGCCCTTACCACCCTGAAATGTACTAATTCTAATTCTTTGCCCAAACTCACACATACAAGGGGTGAGCACAAAGCCTTGGAAAATTAATCTCTTTTTTGATCCATGGGCAACCACGCAAGTACACAAAGGCCATAATGTTGCAGCTGCCACGCACACGTGCTCCAAGAACTCACATTCACAAATTGTGTACACAATGATCAAGCGATAAGGTTCACTCGTACCCCCGCCCTGCAAACAGGGCGCTGGGAAGGGCAGATGAGCTTCACAGAATCTTGTGAAGGAAGTGGGGATAACATTCTGGGTAATTTATCATGACCTATGTATAAAGCATCTGGATGCAGCTGTAGACCGCGGTTAGCCAATGTGCGCAAATACTATCCGAAAAGTTTGCCATAGAAATTCATATACACCATACCAGATGTGATTTTTTTTTTCATTGCGGAACATGTGGACACATTTTGAGCGTCGAATGATATGCATTTCGACTCTTCGTGAATTCGTAACGAAGCCTGTATGAGCAACTGATGGGAGCTAAAAATTTACCACACAGAGCAGATTTTCCTACGTTGTTATGCTTTTCATCCAAAAAAGGGTGCCGCATTTATGAATAGCAATAAAAGAGTGATGAATGACTCAGTCTTAACGGCCGTTTCAAAACAGGGTCGTAGTTGTGATGACTTGCAGGTCTCAGGTCACGTAAAATCTATCCAATCAGAGCATTAATTCGTCATCAGCCCTTCCCAGCGTCCTGTTTGCAGGGTGGGGGTTGCGAGCGAAGCGATAAGGATGCACATCAGCAGACAGTCAAAAGAGGGCGCGAGCATAATTAAGGCAATTAAGTTGAAGATTGTCAGTGCAGCAGCAAATAAGCGGGGAAAAAAAGCAATTTTACACACACAACTTTGTACAGAAACTGGAGAGAGAGTCTTGAAGTTTATCCAAAAAATTGACGGATTTAATCGACTTTTTTTCTTAGAAAAATTACATTAATCGGAAGCATAGGCCTATTATATATTCTTCATAATACTCGATTAAGGACAAAAACTTCTACCACGTTTGTTAGAAATGACATAAAAACTGAAAATACCCCGCTGATAATATGGATCGTTCCAATGGGGATGTTTCCATCAGTTTGTGTGGTGCATCGAAAAGGAGAGCAAACAAATTGATATTCACATTTTCACCAAAAAAAGTAGGACATTCCAATGGCTCCGTCGTGCAAACATTTTCGATATTGTTACACTAGAGACTGTCACATTAGATTTATCTCTCCAGAAAATATCTGGTCATGGTAACATTACAGTTATCCTCGGTGGGGACTTCAATCTCCCTGGCTGGGATTGGTCAACTAAATCTCTCAAAACCAATGTTCATCATCCATCAGTTCACGGAAAGTTTGGTGATATACTAGATGACAACGGTTTGGCTCAGATGGTTGAAGAACCGACCCGTCTTGGAAATATTCTCGACCTGATCATTACAAATCGCCCTAACCAAATCAACAGAACACGGGTCATCCCTGGTATCAGCGATCACAACATAGTCTATACAGAATTAGACATAAAACCAACGCACGGAAAACAACTTCCTTGGAAAGTGCCCTTGTACAGCAAGGCCAACTGGAAAAGTTTTCATCATCATGCTTCCCAAATAGCTGATGAAATTGCTATGGGTGAACAGACCTCAACAGTTGATCAGTTGTGGGATATCTTCAAGCAAGGCATCCACGAAGGGATTTAAATATTCATCCCTCATAGATCAACCAAGTCCAAAGATTCTCATCCTTGAATCTCAGCCCAACTTAAAGGACAATTCGCCACAGTTACAAGGCTTATAAATTAAGCAAAAGATTCGGTCGACCATATCAAGAATTTACATTTAAAACAAACTCAAGGCATAAAGATACCGGGGCTGTGGATCATTATGGCCGGGGGGGGGGACGTTGCACGGGGATCTCTCCTAGTGTGATGCATTATTTGAAACCTTCCGCGTTTGTCTTCCTGATGTTTTCATTAAAAACATTATAGGCTGTGTAAATGCAGCGCCAGGGGCGTAACAAGGTCATCTTATTTATTTATTTATTATTAATATTATTTTTTGGTGGGGGGGGGGAGGGTTAAACATTCGTTGAAAAGTGCACTCGCACATCCGTGCTGAAATGTGGACGTGTTATTTTTTTCGGGGGGGGGGGCCCTGGTAGTACCATTTTCAAATGGGAGCGCTGTTTAAAAGAGACGAAACCAAATATATGGCCCTTTTCAATGCGGCACATGCAGGAAATGTATAAAAGGCACTTGTTACGGCCGCTGCTACAAAAAGGGCACGACTTCCCTCTTTTTAAAAGGCACTTGTTCGGAAAAACGGGGGCATTCGTTAAAAATATTAGGGGGAAGCTGGTGGAAAAAAAGGTCACTTGAATAGAAAGGGCCAGTCGTTACAATTTCTTGTTATGGGGGGGGGGGGTATTTACCCGCCTAACTCCCCCCATGGATACGCGTATAGTGCTATAGAGTAGTAGGGGCTTTCAACAAGAACAAAAATCTGCAAATTATCTTTTGCTTATTTGCAGTATTATATTTGTTTTCCCTTTCCAGCGGTGATGTTTTCCACCATGATCCAAGCACACAAAGCAGACCTGTGGATGGTTCTAGGTAAATGACATCCATTGCTCACTTCAGTCAGATAGCCATACGAATGTGTGCATTCACAAGTTACGTTTTGCACTCCAAATTTTGAACAGTATTTTTGAAACAAATCAGGTAAATCATTTTGTATAGAGGCAAACAAAGAGATTCTTGGGAGTGGTTTGTACAAGGTGATTCAAAAAAAGGCGGAACCAAACCCCCAAAATTATATTTCATATTTAACAAAATAAATAGCACCAAAAATAATAATGACTAAAAAAAAACAATTTCATAAGCTACTTTTAGACGGAAAAAGTGACTGAAATTGCTCATTCAAAGAATACCACCATTTCAACGCAATGACCCTTAAACCTGTTTCGTCAAAACAAACCAAAATTATTGTCTATTCTGACTTTTAGAAAGAACAAAGAAAATGACACACAATACTTTTTTTAACAACTGTCAACAACGGTAGAACACAATATCATTATTAACAACCACGGTAAGGCTGAGGCTTTATCGCTGGTGTTGTTTGAAGACAATAGTGACGAAGATTCTTGAAATCGCATTTTTAGACGAAAGAGGATTAAGGGTCATTGTGTTGAAATGGTAATATTCTTTGAACAGATTAAGCAATTTCAGTAATTATTTCACCTAAAAGTAACTTATGAAATTGGCTTTCCAGTCAGTAATATTTCTGGTGCTATAAATTTTTTTAAAATATGGAATATGATTTTAGGGGTTTGGGTTCCGCTTTGACTCATCCTGTATGTCAGGTCCTTTTTTTCAACGGATGGACATTGTTGCGGAGAGAACGTATCGTCAGGAGTTGCTTTGACTCAGAGCAGCGAAATGGATGCAATAGACATTTCGGTTGAACTTATCCCAGAGCTAGGGCCGGTGTTCTTTGTTATCCTAGCGTTGTTACAATCAATGCACACAATGACTCATGCCTATGCAAGCGATACAAAACCGTCGTACTCCAGAGGTCTATAACCGAGACCGTGGCGTTGGGTTCAATTTGCAATGCTATAAAAAAGTTTATTTTAATAGGGAAGGGGAGGGAGGGGAAGAGGACTCGATCCGGCCCCAGGCCCCTCCCCCTTAGTCAAGCAACTGGACAGAGATGGAATAGGACTCAGCCCCCCCCCCAAAAAAAAACCTCTCTGCTAGCCGCAAATTGGGCTCGTACAAAAGTTTTGTTAGTTTTCATTTTATATTAGAATAATTTTAAAGCACAAGGATCAAACATTTCCTTAAAGCTCATGAGCACAAATAGTATTTGAAACCCGTCAAGGAGTTCATTTGAATTTGTCTGATGAACCTTAAAGGGAATGTACATCATTTGCAGTTGTTGTAATTATCAGAAATGGGTTTATTCAGGGGTTAGCGTATCATACGACATATCATTAAACTGACCTATTGAAATGTTTGCGTTCTGAGATGTCGACAAAAAAAGAAGAAAAAACTGTGGTCGCTTAATTCCATCGCGCAGTCCTCGTCGCCTGCATGTATGCTTTCGAAATGCTACTCACTGAATTTGTTATAGCGCCCTCTTGCAAAATAAGCCCGTACCGTTTGTAAATGGGACTGTTGTCAGTTGGCCACGCAAAGCAGGCAGGCCTTGTGACGCAATCTAATCGGGCGCCGAACAAAGGACGCTAGTGCAGTTGTTTTATCGCTTAAGTGCAAAACTAAACTAGATTAAAACTGTGCTACAAACATGTACCGATCTGGGACTGCCACCATACAATTAAACTTCCATTTTCTGGGTAAAATTACGTGTTCCAAAACTGCCATATATGAGTTGTGTTGGACAACAACTTATTTAAATGTACATGTAATATACAACAAGTACTCTTTTGCTTTAAACATTAGTTCCGTTAATTGTCCACCAACATAATTCTCTAGAATTTGATAACTTATAGTTTCTAATAAGATCCATTGGTACTCTTTCCCTGTTGTAGTCATTTCTGTGGTGGTTATTCGCATCCAAGCAAGAAGTAACGAGGGTGGAACCATCTTCCTGGAGCGAGGCCACCCTGGCATCCTGTCCTGCCCTCTCGTCACATCCGGAAGAATCCTGCTGGATCAGATCGACGCCATGTACTGGTACTCCCCTGTACTACGAGATGAAGACATCTTGATCTCCTACTTTCTAGGGAACGTCGCTCCACAAAACGGCATCCCGGAGGGCGTGTATGACATCAACGGAAACTTCTCTCTGGTTATTGAGAACGTCACCGACTCGGATGAAGGGACCTACTACTGTAGGGTCAAACCTAGGATGAGAATGATGGTTGATGAGCAAGTGACTATGCGTGTCAAAGGTGAGTGGGTTGGTGATTAGTAATTTTTTTTCCTGCACGTGGTGCATTTCTTTGGAATTCGTTCGCTCGTACCCCCGCCCTGCAAACAGGACGCTGGGATACTCTGATGAATTCACACTCTGATTGGTTGGATTGTGCGTGACCTGTGACCTGCGCCTCATCAAAGTCATGACTCTGCAAGGTTTGAAACGGCCGTTAAGACGGAGTCATTATTACTCTTTCATTCAAGTTTAGAGATGGGCTTTTTTCATTGAAAAGCGTAATAATGTAGGAAATTTACAATTCGCATCACTTGCTCAGGCTCCGTTTCGAATCACTAATGGTCGGATTCCATTACACGACGCTCAAAATTTTGTCCACACATGGTCCGCAATGAAACAGAAATCACATCCGGTATGGAATGTACGTATTTCTATGGGAAGTTTTCGAATAGCATTTGTGCACATTGTCTAACTGCGGTCTTGAACAGCTGCAGCCAGAAGCTTTAGACATAGGTCATAGGCCACTTCCTCCACAATATTCTGTGAAGCTCTTCAGCGTATCCGGCCCAGCGTCCTGTTTGCAGGGCGGGGGTTAGAGTGAATGGAATCCGTTGCCTGGTACTACCCACAACACCCCCGAGTTAAAAAGAAACCGGAGACCACCAAAATTCCTTCAATTTCAGTCTGCATACATGTAGACGTAAAACAATAAAACAAAACGCTTGATAAAGAATCCATAAAATGGAAAACAAAATATCCAAATATAAGAAACCGAGGTCACGTTGTCTTTGTTACTAGTACTTTATCAAATCACTCGTAGAGAAAAGAGCTGTGTTATATTCCCTCAGCGTATTGTGCTGAGATGAACATTGTACCTGAACCCATTATTCATAATAGGGGGCAACCAGTTTGTGAATTTGTGAAAGTAAGCTGTGATTTACCTGATCTTGGCCTAAGATCATAGTGGACGGTGCATAGTGCGCCCTCTAATGGCACAACAATTAGACCAGTGTGCCTTCTCGCGCTAACGTCTTGGCCATTTCGTTTCAGCGGTTTAACTTTTTCTTTATTTTCTCCCTAGGCTTTCCTATGGAACCAATCAGCAATCGAGAAAAGGTTCAATTAATGGCGCTCCCGCTGGTTGAAAACATACGCCCCTTCGTGTGGTGATCAAGCATCAGCGTTTTTCTATGGAATCAATCCGCGATTGGGAAAAAGGGTTCAATGACTCACCCGAGGGTTGATTCGCCCTATACCTTCGGCGAACGAGTACAGAGCTGTAAATAGGAACTGTGTTTGTTTGAAGTTATACAGACGGTCTTATTTATATGTGTCATTATATGTCATTTCGTAGCAATGGCCCCACCCCCATTGCTACGAAATGACCAAGACATTAGCGCGATGAAGTAAGAAAAACAATTCATATGCAAGGACGCTACACAACAATGCAACTATCGCTCTTGATCAATGACGTAGAATTAAACCGTTTAATTACCGGTTTTCAAAGTTTTATAGTTTTGCACACAAAAATTCTTTGAAAATGGGGCAAAAGCTAGGCCGAATTTCAGGAAGACTGCAATAGTCGGTTCTTATATTTTGAAATTGATTTTTTGTTTTCCAAGGACTTAGCAACTTTCTGGCAATGAAAATGTTAAGCGTTTTCCATGTTGCTGCTTCTCAACTCAAGACAGCATAGTCAATACTAGTTTTACATATACATGTACATGTATAACTGCTGGCAGACCAATCTATGGTAGAATCTGAGGCAAGAAACGTTTCTAGCAAGGTCACCGTACAATTGTTATCTTGTAAAAGATTGTGATAACACTTTGAAGCCCCATATCCTATTTTCTCAGTAATGTTAAATGTGTTTATATATTGTATAGTATCTCCCAAAGAACCGTTTCCCGACGTAACTCAATGCACTGAACGCATCTCCGGAACTACGTGTGAGGCCGCGTTGCTGAACGACATCAAGAAACCAATGTTGACCTGCATCGTACGGGATACCAAGCCTGCCGTGGCTCTCAGATGGCTGCTTGAGTATTGTGACGGCGACACACAACTCATCAGCGACAGGTTCACCGTACAACCGAGTAAGTACAGGGTGTGACTGAATCTGAATCCTCCGGAATAGGAAAATAACATAATCTGGCTCTTACAGAGGTAGTTTGCTAATTATGTCCCAGGCTGGAAGATCTCTTTTCGTTTGGCAATCATTTCATCTCATGAATATATTTCGACGGGTACATGAGCACATAATACCACATTGTGGCCTGTGATACGCTCTTCCCAGCAAGTATTTCTGTAGGTCATATTGTCCAGCATTCTTGGAAAATTCATGTAGTTGGCTTGTTTTCCCAGCTATAGTGAAATATTAATATCTTTTGTATTGTGTTTCAGGTGTGCATACGGTGATCACCTTCACCACTTCGGCATCCATCCCAATTATAGCAAGTAGTGTGGACACGCTGTACAGATGTCAAGCATACGGGGAGGCTCTGGGCGCCAGGAATGGTAGCCACGTGACGGTCACAGCATATACCCTTCAAACAACACGTAAGCCTGGATATGTAATGTTTTTGTCTCATTGTACAACTTTTGTAAGTTGAACTTCTGGGTGTATTCGACCACGGATCCTACACACAAGGATTAACGACTCGACCCATACCCAACTCCTGGTTAGACGCGTGCTAACAGCCCGTACTGGTGGCAAATACCATGAATACTTTGCAACAAAGACCACTGCGCGCGGTGGCTTTCAGATTTGCAAGGCTTTGCGCCCGATCTGGCCTCGAAGTCTGTTAAGCCAGCGAATTAAATTTTGGAATATCCATGTGTCTACGTTTTTGGTCTTTATCATTGAATCCTGATAAGTGATAACTACATAACCATGGTAATGCCGAGCACAATATCTTTAGCTTTAAGATGAACAATGAAATGTCGCTTTTGTTTAATCGTTTCGGCATCACATCTCTCTAAAACGTTTTAATAAAAGCCTAATTAAAAACGAAAGTTGGGTAAACGGTATTCTCCTCGAAATTTGACGTTTATTTCCCCGGGAAATACTTCACCTATGACGACAAAAACTGCACAGTACCATTTGTTATATCCTGAAGTATTTATTTCTTAAATAAGAAATAGTTTTGCTTACAGTTTTATGAATATTTCCGTTTTAGATGTCATGAAAAACCCAACACAATGGCACATCTGGAGAATTAGCGATTACGCGCCAACGGGTATTAATGCCCATTATCACGCGTCTAACCAATTAAGGCAAGTCCACTGAGTGCATTTTGTACTAGATCTCAGAACAGTCGTTTATCCTGGTGTCTAGGATCCGTGATTCGAGTGACCCGCTAACAGTGTTCTCGGGTTGCCGATTACGAACGCCAGTAGTGTGTTGGGTCTTCATCGGACAGACAAAAGAATTTTATGCATAATGCACAAAGACAAAGGACTCATTAGCATATCAATGAAACCAATTAGCATATCGATGGATGATGTTAGCATAATAAAAGAGCGCATGGGCGTGTGTAAGTTTTACCGGACAAAGGATGGGTCTAAAAAATGTATTGGACAAAGGGGGGCAGCCCACCCGGCTAGATGGAATAGCGGACAGAGGAAAGACCTGAACCGGAATAGTGGACAAAGGGAGACTTGAGCCGGATTATGAATGTCAAACGTTTGAAATGACCAAGACTATCATTTGTATTCATTCAAAGCAGTGTGCAAACAGTGGATAATAAAAACAAAATGCAGGCCACACCAACAGAGCGCCAATTAAGCCGACTAGCTGGAAATCTTGTGAAAAAATGTTTTTACTCTGGTAAGAATGGAGAGTGCGAGCGACCTTGGGAGAAGTTAATGATGAATCTCGGTCTATCAAGAGCCGCTATGTATAGACATTTAGAGGAAAACAAATTTTGTGAATGGGGGCAATGTTTTAACGCGCTTATAGAGTGGAAACGACGCGAATATAAAAATGCCACGATTGAACGATTATTGAATGCCAGTCGATTTTGCGGTATTGATCATAACGCTTACAATTTTTTTGCTGCAGTTAACCATTACCCTTCCCCCCTTCCAAAAAAGAAAGAAAGAAAGAAAGAAACAATTATGATTGTCTAATTGAAGAATTTATCTTTTAGTAAATTATTATCGAGTACGGCGAACATGGTCTAGAATGAAACACCCCTTAAGATTTGTTTCGAATGACTCATCTCGGTAGTCCATTGTGCAATCCACACGAACAAGTTCGTGTATGTGTACAGACATGCAAGAGTTTCTTCTGGTCGAGTTTTAAAAAAGTTTGAAAAAATTAAGTTATGTATTTATAGTAAACAAACACTCACCGGTGAACAGCGTACTTGCACGGTATAGTCCGATGATTGTTTTAACCAGGGAGGAATTGTGTTAATAAAAGATCAGAGAGCTAATGAGTCCATGCGTTCCATACGGAGACCGATGGTCAATCACCCCTCGATGACCGCACCGATCATGGAGCAAATAAATAACTCCGTGCTTCTGCACCGATATTTGCCTTGTCATATCGTGTGTGTTATCCAGGTGCAATAACAATTGCACAATACAGTCGACTCTCATTATATTATAAAGAGCACTTTTATAAAGAGGTTCTGCTTATAAAGAGCAAATTCTGAGGTCCCAAATCTCAGGTTCTCTTTGTGTTTCTTTGTTTCGCTGTCCTTTCATAACAAAGAAGAGGTAATAAAGAGGTAATTTGGCTAGTCCCATCGACCTTGTTATAACGAGAGTCGACTGTATTCTTCCACATTACCGCCAGAACCATCTATGTACGTATATCTGTGTGCGGTGGTCGTAGAAAATACAAACTTTCAGGGTCGGCTCGGTGTGTACAGTATGTACACGTACATCTGTATTAAGGGACTGACTGCATCCTACATGTACACATTGTATATTTACACCGTCCGATCAGATAGCGCTGTTTCCCTAATCCATAAAGACGTAATTCTTTCAAGACGTGTTCATTATATCGATTATCTTTCACCGACTGAACCTACCTGCATGTACAGTGGGGGATGGATTATTGAGCGTTCTAAATATCGATTGCCAGGAGTTACACAACAGTAGTGAACGCTGACTCCCTTTATTGGACAATGGGACTTAATTGGCAGCGCACGGCATGTGCGGGAGCTTCAAAAATCTGTACGTGAAAGAAGTCAATGAAGTTGACTGACTAAACATGATTTCAAGCCTTAATACCCCTCTACCGTTGTCTGTACAGGAATGCACCGAACCCTAGTGTACCACCGTGCCGGACTTGTTTACAAAATCAAGGATATATATATATAACTAGGTCTTTTTGTGTTAAAGCAATAGTACGTACTTCTATTTTATATTGAAGATTTAGAGTGTCATAAGGCAACTAACTTTTTTACCCCAACAAAGTCCCAAAGTTGGACACGGTGCGTGATAAAGCCATACATGAAGCATTAAAGACCGTAAACATTTCGGGGATTATTGACAGGGCGCCCAAACACTAATTATATGACTGCTTGACAATAGGGCTTTCCCGATTGTTTAACTGTAAGACAACACCAACAAAGAAAAACTGCAGAAAGTGTATACATGATAACATCATTTCTTTATTGACGTCATTTCTCAATGAAACACTCGTGTTTATTTTTAATTTGTTTTTAAATGTATTCTTTGCAATTAAATCATCAGTGATCTTAATGTAACATTGACTAGTCTTTAATCGTCACTGTCTTCCTCGTTAACGTCATCTTCATCTAATTGATGGAACAGGCCGTCAAATTTGGCCTGGTGTTTAGATATGACCCGGCTGACAGCCGTGGGCAGTAGAATACCGGAATGATTGACTCTGTCTTCGATCTCGTCCATAATTTCTTGATGAGTATCATTATCTTTCAGATGTATGTAACTTGACAAAAAATCTTTGTATTTGTTGAAAAAGATTCGCTTGACTGCCCACAAGGTCTTCCTGTTGGCCTTTTCCGTGGCCTGATCTTCACTCATGCCCTCGTTGATGTACTTTTCATGTTTTTCACTCCACATCTCATCAATCGCTTCTTTTGCCTCTCCCAACCAGTTTAAATAGGCTGCATTGTCTTCCAAATCAGAACTAGACTCATCTTCATCAGATGATTCGTCATCTTCCACCTCCGTGACGGATTCGGAATCATTTTCCTCAAGATCTTCGTCTTCATCATACGTAGATTCAGTTTCATAGTTTTCCATTTCCGGATCTTCAAATCTACTGCTTTTAAATTCAGGTTCAGAATTATCCACCTCAACTTCGTCTATGTCGGATTCATCTTCAGCATGTGCATTTTCGGTATGTCTCAAGAGGTTATATCTCCGTCCAAAGCGTTTGTCACACTGGTGACAAGCATAGGGTTTGACTGCAGAAATTGTATTCATGTTGAAGCTTTGAAGGTTAATCTCCGAATGGTAAGGAACGGATGAAATCATTTAATATATATCTACTTATTTGGTTACTCATTTCGTTACTCATTTACTCATTTCGTTACTCATTTACTCAGTTCGTTACTCATTTACTCATTTCGTTACTCATTCACTCATTTGCTACTCATTTGGTTACTCATTTCGTCACTTATTTGGTTACTCATTTGCTACTCATTCACTCATTTGCTACTTATTTGGTTACTCATTCACTCATTTGCTACTCATTTCGTTACACATTTACTCAGTTCGTTACTCATTCACTCATTTGCTACTCATTTGGTTACTCATTTCGTTACTCATTTCGTTACTCATTTACTCATTTCGTTACTCATTTACTCATTTCGTTACTCATTTACTCATTTCGTTACTCATTTACTCATTTTGTTACTCATCATTACTCATTATTTAATCAAATGAGTAAATGAGTAACTGTATAAGCGCGTTAAAACATTGCCCCCATTCACAAAATTTGTTTTCCTCTAAATGTCTATACATAGCGGCTCTTGATAGACCGAGATTCATCATTAACTTCTCCCAAGGTCGCTCGCACTCTCCATTTTTACCAGAGTAAAAACATTTTTTCACAAGATTTCCAGCTAGTCGGCTTAATTGGCGCTCTGTTGGTGTGGCCTGCATTTTGTTTTTATTATCCACTGTTTGCACACTGCTTTGAATGAATACAATGATAGTCTTGGTCATTTCAAACGTTTGACATTCATAATCCGGCTCAAGTCTCTCTCCTTGTCCGCTATTCCGGTTCAGGTCTTCCTCTGTCCGCTATTCCATCTAGCCGGGTGGGCTGCCCCCTTTGTCCAATACATTTTTTAGACCCATCCCTTGTCCGGTAAACCTTACATACGCCCATGCGCTCTTTTATTATGCTAACATCATCCATCCATATGCTAATTAGTTTCATTGATATGCTAATGAGTCCATTGTCTTTGTGCATTATGCATAAAATTCTTTTGTCTTGTCCGATGAAGACCCAACACACTACTAACGCCGAAGTACGTGTCGAGTGCAGCCGGGCGAAAATTCAATTTGGCAGTAGCTGTATTCAAACGCTAAATGAACAAAAGGGACAATGCATTGAATTAATACGAAAATAACTGAAATCCTGAAACAGCTACAAAAAATGGCAAAAGCAAGGCCGACATGCCCACTCTGTATAACCACGTTTAATATTTTGTTGTTTACTGTTACTGCTTCTGCATTACATGAGTGCTTTCAATTTTAAATACAAAACTTTACCCAAGTTCCAGTAGAGGCTTAGGGTCTAAGTCCGCCAATTATACGCTTTGTAGTCCTCATCTGGCCTCATATTTTTGGTTAAAGTGTTTTTGTTTGCGCTGTCTTTCTTAGACAATACCATTGGAACAAACGGTAGCGCCGCGTAGGTTTTGTGATAAAAAAACTACATTTTGTTATCTTTGCCTACACTGCATAATTTTGATATCATGCAAAATTAATGATTTTCAATGTTTACCTTTAATGTTAAAGAGCTTCAAGAGCAATGAGCAAGCAAGTTTCTTGAATTATATGCCTTTATTAGAACTTCTAGTCCTCTTTTTGTTACGGATTATTTTTTTTCCGATTTCGCTTTATCACTTGTAGCTTTTAATGTTCTGATCAAATCTTTAAATAAATCACTTGCTTCGTAATATCATACGGTTATGATAATACAGTTTGATGATTTTGTAAGATAACATTGAGTAATGGTGATCCGGATTCTTCAAAATTAGGGAACCAAATAGCACTGTTAGCAGGCGGAGCCGAATGAAGACCGAGTTTTGGAAAATCTCGGTACTAAACGGTCGTCAAATTCAACATTGTACAGGACACAGCAAAAAGTTCGCCCGTACGATCCGAGTATATTTGATGCACAAAATCGTCGTTGAATTTCAAGTTTTCTATTAAATGAAAACAATGAATATTAATTATCAACTCATTTAAAATAAAATTAATAAGCAATTAGCAGTTAATTAAACCTATATTATATACTCGGAAATACTCGGGCGCTATATCCGATTGTCGACGAAACAACTTCTGAGTATCAAACACAAACGCAGTTATACAAATTATTGATTACATTTACTATAATAGTGGTTTCTTAACGAATATTAAAAAAAATATTTGCAGATTTGACATCAATTCAATCTACCACAGCTGCAACGGTTGTGCCTACTGAGATGGGCTTTACATTTGCGGTGAAGGACGCTCGAGATAGCTCACAGAATGCCGTGATTGGGCTCACAGTTGCTTTTTGCTTGTCATTGGCTGCCATCGTTGGTTTGGTTATTGCTGTCTGCAAGGTAAATTGGGGCATGCGCCCGATCACACAGAACTGTGTTCTGTTAAACTCGTGAACACTCTCAATTAATCAATCACTAAGCAAATAATAGCAGATATCTATATCCTTGTACAGTTGTTGTCTTAATAAGCACAGAAGCAGGATACTAGTGTACTGAACGTTGTTTAGAGGTTCCTTATGTACAGTTTGGGTTTTTTAATTAGTTATTAATGATGTCATATTTTGAGTATGCGCATTGAACAAGGTGTCTAGACATACGCCTAAATACAGGAATGATGCTCTTCTCTGTCTTGTCAATGATAAGGGCTCATGACTTGTTGTAGTATGTATAATATCTTCTATTTTCAATGTCATTTCAGATGAGGAAGCCTGGACAAACGAATGGAATACAGGTATGCAAACACTTTCTAGTATGTTAGTATAGTAGGTCTATCTCTGATATCACAGAACGCTAATACAACTTGTAAATGGAAATAATGACAAATACATTTTAGGTAACATTGTGGTCGTTGTAAAGTAAGTGTTGCTTCCAAAAATATCGGAATGGATTACATACCGGCAACCTTTATGCAGAAACGAATATCCTGCGCGATTTTCGAATGGTTTGTTGGAGCTGACGGAATGAAAAAGGTGCATGAAAGCACCGAGGCCTGAAAAAAACGACATTAAAAATACTGCACTAGCTTTGGTTCAGGCCTCTGTTACCCTCTGTTTTGTTTGAGATACTTTACATTATTTGTTCTCCTTTCAAAATTCGCATTTTAATCTTGATGGGAATAAGAATATATCGACTGAAATGAAGGAGTTTGCTGTAACCCTGGATCATTGAACTCATTGAATGACTTTTGCTTTACACTCTCTCTTTATCTACTTAATAGTTGCCGGCGGACAACAACACGGATTGCGACACCACGGACCCACTGAACGAAGAGAGTGTAACTTGATATTACCAATTAACAAGCCAGTACGTATGAATATTGCAATCTGAATGACAGAAGTTGAAATTCACCACATATTGTTCCATGGTGCCCACGACCGTCCGTTTTGAACCGCGCCACCATATAGGACACCATTATAACCGCCAGAGGGGCACTTAATTTGTTGGCCTGGAAAAATCGCCCCCCCCCCCTCTGCCTCCGGCTCCGCATTCCTTCAAGACATGTGCTGGGATATATTGGCATGCACGCTACCGTTTGTCTCTTTATATTTCCAAGGAGATCCCGAAAATCCGTCATTATTTTGGACAGTAAAGCGGGGGAGGGAGAGATGTTTCCTAAAACATTCCATGGAGAATTGCACCCGACTGTTGTACCTGGTAACTTTGATACCTTTTGTAGCTTTTAACTAAGTTGTACCTGGTAACTTATGTACCTGGTAACTTTTGTACCTTGTAACTTTTGTGCCATACCTTTTGCACCTATTTTTTTTACCTCGTAACTTTTGTACCATGCAACTTTTATACATTTTGTATCTATCAACGTTTTTAACCTTGTACTGTTTGTACCACGCAACTTTTATACCTTTTGTATCTATCAACGTTTTTAACCTCGTACTTTTTGTATCACGCAACTTTTATACCTTTTGTACCCGGTATTAAACTTTTTTACCTCGTAACATTTGTACCACGTAACATTTATACCTTTTGTACCTATTAACGTTTTATACCTCTTAACATTTGTACCACGCAACTTTGATACATTTTGTACCTAGTAATTTGTTTTCCCCCGTAGTAACGTTTGTACCACGTAGCCTTTTACGTGCAATTGGGCGCTCTACAACAATGCAACCCTTGCTATCGATCGCTGAGATCTCACCAGGCTCCAGGTTTGAGTTAATGTTGTCCGAATTACTGAGGTCAATCAATAGTTAGTTCACTTACTGTTTGGGCGTTTCTTGTTCAGAAAAAGTGATTGCAATCCATCACGAAATTGGAATTTTGTGTCATTGCCTCTTATTTTGTCTGTCCTTTCAGGCCAAGTAAAAACAATTAACCACTTTTTCATGCCCGCCCGCTCCATTGTTTTCCTGACCGCCTACTTTTTGTATCGTTCTTTTGCAATATAGTTTGTATGTCCTTCCAGCAATGTTATAGCTACGGCTGCAAATTTAGAATCTGTTTCAAGGCGACATATCGACAAATAGAGTTAAAACAAAAGATTGGAAATCGCCATCTTGAAAAAGAAAGGGCCCCGTCTCCTTTGTTTAGGACTAGAAATTGTTTTGCGGGTTTTTTGTTTCGCTTGGCCTTGTTAAATAACAGTGACACCGAAAACACGTTATATTGGTGGCAGTTGTATGGCCACATTATATTTGAATCCATTTTCTCGTAGTAGCGATTCACTGCCAGATTACCGAGCTTGCCAGATACCACCCCGGCCGGTGCACTAATTCCCTAACTCGTTCCTCGACCGTGAATAAAATATTTTCTTATGCGCCTACCTACTGTAGAATACACGTGCAGGACAAAACATGTTTTCGCCTGTATTGGGGAGCAACGATCTGGAGGACAAGGCCAGAGCGGAAATTGTCCCATACAAGGCAGAAGATTAAAGAACGGGCCAATGGTAGTCGAAATGTGTTTCCCCTCCTCTTTCTTCTCTTTTTGAGTCTCTCTCACCCCCTCTACGCCCCCGTCTGCATCTGCCCCTATCACTGCCCCCGGCCCCCATTTCCAGCGCAGAATTGAGTACTCGGAGACAGTCATGGAAAAGGGTCTTTAAAAAAAAAAAAAACTTACGGCAGACCGGAGGACTGAAAAATGCAGGAAATGTTGTGCCTCAGCCTAATTAAACAGAAGGAACCGAAGATTCGAATATCCATTTGCAAACACCAGCTTCATTATATATTCTCAGAGACAATTTGCGACACACATTGACAATCTAGAATTGGTATACTGGATCGCGAAGCTAAGCCGACTAAATGTCATCTGCTTGAAGAAACAGTTAGGGCGCTTTGTCTCTTACGGGAGACAGATCCAAGCAAGTTTTTTGTTTTGTAGTTTTTTGGGTTTTTTAATTAGTTATTAATGATGTCATATTTTGAGTATGCGCATTGAACAAGGTGTCTAGACATACGCCTAAATACAGGAATGATGCTCTTCTCTGTCTTGTCAATGATAAGGGCTCATGACTTGTTGTAGTATGTATAATATCTTCTATTTTCAATGTCATTTCAGATGAGGAAGCCTGGACAAACGAATGGAATACAGGTATGCAAACACTTTCTAGTATGTTAGTATAGTAGGTCTATCTCTGATATCACAGAACGCTAATACAACTTGTAAATGGAAATAATGACAAATACATTTTAGGTAACATTGTGGTCGTTGTAAAGTAAGTGTTGCTTCCAAAAATATCGGAATGGATTACATACCGGCAACCTTTATGCAGAAACGAATATCCTGCGCGATTTTCGAATGGTTTGTTGGAGCTGACGGAATGAAAAAGGTGCATGAAAGCACCGAGGCCTGAAAAAAACGACATTAAAAATACTGCACTAGCTTTGGTTCAGGCCTCTGTTACCCTCTGTTTTGTTTGAGATACTTTACATTATTTGTTCTCCTTTCAAAATTCGCATTTTAATCTTGATGGGAATAAGAATATATCGACTGAAATGAAGGAGTTTGCTGTAACCCTGGATCATTGAACTCATTGAATGACTTTTGCTTTACACTCTCTCTTTATCTACTTAATAGTTGCCGGCGGACAACAACACGGATTGCGACACCACGGACCCACTGAACGAAGAGAGTGTAACTTGATATTACCAATTAACAAGCCAGTACGTATGAATATTGCAATCTGAATGACAGAAGTTGAAATTCACCACATATTGTTCCATGGTGCCCACGACCGTCCGTTTTGAACCGCGCCACCATATAGGACACCATTATAACCGCCAGAGGGGCACTTAATTTGTTGGCCCTGGAAAAATCGCCCCCCCCCCCTCTGCCTCCGGCTCCGCATTCCTTCAAGACATGTGCTGGGATATATTGGCATGCACGCTACCGTTTGTCTCTTTATATTTCCAAGGAGATCCCGAAAATCCGTCATTATTTTGGACAGTAAAGCGGGGGAGGGAGAGATGTTTCCTAAAACATTCCATGGAGAATTGCACCCGACTGTTGTACCTGGTAACTTTGATACCTTTTGTAGCTTTTAACTAAGTTGTACCTGGTAACTTATGTACCTGGTAACTTTTGTACCTTGTAACTTTTGTGCCATACCTTTTGCACCTATTTTTTTTACCTCGTAACTTTTGTACCATGCAACTTTTATACATTTTGTATCTATCAACGTTTTTAACCTTGTACTGTTTGTACCACGCAACTTTTATACCTTTTGTATCTATCAACGTTTTTAACCTCGTACTTTTTGTATCACGCAACTTTTATACCTTTTGTACCCGGTATTAAACTTTTTTACCTCGTAACATTTGTACCACGTAACATTTATACCTTTTGTACCTATTAACGTTTTATACCTCTTAACATTTGTACCACGCAACTTTGATACATTTTGTACCTAGTAATTTGTTTTCCCCCGTAGTAACGTTTGTACCACGTAGCCTTTTACGTGCAATTGGGCGCTCTACAACAATGCAACCCTTGCTATCGATCGCTGAGATCTCACCAGGCTCCAGGTTTGAGTTAATGTTGTCCGAATTACTGAGGTCAATCAATAGTTAGTTCACTTACTGTTTGGGCGTTTCTTGTTCAGAAAAAGTGATTGCAATCCATCACGAAATTGGAATTTTGTGTCATTGCCTCTTATTTTGTCTGTCCTTTCAGGCCAAGTAAAAACAATTAACCACTTTTTCATGCCCGCCCGCTCCATTGTTTTCCTGACCGCCTACTTTTTGTATCGTTCTTTTGCAATATAGTTTGTATGTCCTTCCAGCAATGTTATAGCTACGGCTGCAAATTTAGAATCTGTTTCAAGGCGACATATCGACAAATAGAGTTAAAACAAAAGATTGGAAATCGCCATCTTGAAAAAGAAAGGGCCCCGTCTCCTTTGTTTAGGACTAGAAATTGTTTTGCGGGTTTTTTGTTTCGCTTGGCCTTGTTAAATAACAGTGACACCGAAAACACGTTATATTGGTGGCAGTTGTATGGCCACATTATATTTGAATCCATTTTCTCGTAGTAGCGATTCACTGCCAGATTACCGAGCTTGCCAGATACCACCCCGGCCGGTGCACTAATTCCCTAACTCGTTCCTCGACCGTGAATAAAATATTTTCTTATGCGCCTACCTACTGTAGAATACACGTGCAGGACAAAACATGTTTTCGCCTGTATTGGGGAGCAACGATCTGGAGGACAAGGCCAGAGCGGAAATTGTCCCATACAAGGCAGAAGATTAAAGAACGGGCCAATGGTAGTCGAAATGTGTTTCCCCTCCTCTTTCTTCTCTTTTTGAGTCTCTCTCACCCCCTCTACGCCCCCGTCTGCATCTGCCCCTATCACTGCCCCCGGCCCCCATTTCCAGCGCAGAATTGAGTACTCGGAGACAGTCATGGAAAAGGGTCTTTAAAAAAAAAAAAAACTTACGGCAGACCGGAGGACTGAAAAATGCAGGAAATGTTGTGCCTCAGCCTAATTAAACAGAAGGAACCGAAGATTCGAATATCCATTTGCAAACACCAGCTTCATTATATATTCTCAGAGACAATTTGCGACACACATTGACAATCTAGAATTGGTATACTGGATCGCGAAGCTAAGCCGACTAAATGTCATCTGCTTGAAGAAACAGTTAGGGCGCTTTGTCTCTTACGGGAGACAGATCCAAGCAAGACGTGTTAAATCAAGGAATGGCCAGTACACTGGAGCATAAAAAAATTAAAAATTTCTTTGGCATGGCATAACACAGCAGGAACTTCGCAGAAATAACCAAATCGATCCACAAGTATACAGAGAAAGACAGGAAATTCAGGTGGACACACTATAAAACAGGACTGCCAATTGGCGTTTGATCAGCTGGAACAGCGGCTCACTCCTATCCTATGCTCCGGTTCTGGCATAACCCAAACTTGACACCGAGTTCATTGATCGCGCCTAGAGTTATAGCGGCAAACATAATTTTTTTTTTTTTTTATCCGAAATGATCAAATGATCACAAAAAACCTTACTGAATTGTTAGAGCCTGGCAGTCTAAAGCATCCTCTAAAATCGTGGCACCTGGTGAGCTGACATTTTCAAGAAAACCTGTATGTTACCAACGCTGGTCGGCCGACCGCCGTTGGAGAAAACTGGCTTTTTTCAAAAACTGTTCTTAATTTTTTCATGTTTATTTATTCTGAGTTTTCTTTGCAATTGATTACTCACATGTGAAGGGGCACACGTCTGCTAGACTGATTCTCTGGCCCACACGTGTATTAATTGCTCCTTTATATCTTAAGTGGGCTCAGGAAATCAGACTACAAGAACATGATAGGTACGTTTTCTTGGTTTTTCCAGCCTAAACGTGAAACAAGTGAGTTTGAACAATATTTTCTATAACATAATTCTCCAAATCCATTTATATCCGAGAATTTAAGCAAAAGCAATTGTTAAAAATGCGAATGCAAATGCCATGCGAATTGAAGTCACGAAGCCAATCGAACGCTTTCCCTTCACCCTACGTATACCCACTGATTGCCCCATCCGTTATGGTAGGTTTCCCTTTCCTTATTTAGTATCGATTCCTTTAGTTTTCGATTCCCAACAGACTCCATATGTCGATTAAGTTTACAGAAACCAAGCACAGTCATCACGCAAAGTCTGATGTGACGTAGCGCCATTTTCAGTACAAGAACAACAACAACGCAGATCCTCGTTACACATTAGACACAGTTCCACGAGAATCATTTTCAGTTCCGTTACGAATAGTGCATCTTTTTTCTTCGACGGGTCCTTCCTCGTCCATGCAGTTTAGTTGCAGTAGGCAGCTGTACGAACCCGTTGGACAAGGGGAGGAACTCCGTCCACGGAAATAAGTAGCGAGGCCGTGGTGGTGAGTTGACTTTAGTGCAAAT